CATGATATGGACCAAACAGCATAAATGAAACATGGAACAAAACTACAAATTAATCAGATACATATTGATAAAACCTGTCAGTACCTTGTGCATCTGGTGCATGTTGTCCTGGGGGTAACCTGAGGGGCCCTGTGGAGGTAGTGGGTGTCCTGAGGTGGGTGGCCCAGGGCTAGGGCCCATCATGCCATGGGCAGAGCCAGGTGAGGGTCCAGGACTAGGCCCTAACATGCCCCCTGGAGATGGCCCAGGGCCCGGGGAAGGGCCCGGCCGAGGGGTCCCACCCATAGGTGGGTCAGGGGTGGACATCTCTCAGCAGAGCCGGAAGTAGTAAGAGGTGGAAAAACAGTGTTCTGTATCTGTTTTCAGAAGGCCTGGGAAAGAAAATAAGATGAATTCCAGCAGCTCGATAAACAACAACAACAACACATTAAACATGCCAAAACTAGCTTAAAAACAGCATATGTATAATATATACTGTATAAAACAATTTTTGCTAATGATAATGATGGGAATGAAAGGAGAAATAAAAATATTTCCACAAGCTCATACTCATGTACATAGCAACGAACCACCAATTAATAAAACGCTCATTTTCTGTACAACTGTAAAAAAAACTTTACACTGTATACATCACATGCACTTCAGATTAATCCAGTTATGGCTACAAAAGGACGGCCCTTGAAATAAGACAAGAAAATGGGTTAATTAATCTGTGCCTTCATGTATGTCAAGAGTCTTAAAAAGACTATTATATCTTACAACAAATCAGACCTGACCATAAACTACAGCTTACAACAGTATAAAATGAGATAAATTATATAAATAAATATAAAATTACACAGATGTGTTTTTTTTTAGCAGTGAAACTGAAAACTTAATAATTTGTACCAAAAAAAAAAAAACCTCAATATTAATATTACAATTTCATTATTGATGTGAACGCTTACATTCAGACAACAGTCAGCTTGTAATGCCATGCTGAAAATGTATAATTTTAATAACTGGCAATAACAACGGAACATTGCAATAGTGTTTTGTAGCAAAGAAACAGTATAGCACTGACACAAATAAACCCACCCTGAGAAATATTTACTGGATCCAAAATTGACAACAAGCCCCGGCGTGAACTATATAATAAAATAAAGTACGTCTTATACCTGTTCTCATAATAGGATTTTATTTATGAAACAGCTGAAAATACATTCTGTGAGGTCTAAATAATGCAAAACAATTAAATTTAATGAGGAAATTAATTACTATCTAAATGCATATGCCGGTTAACAAGCTTTCAGCGAGTTTATGTATAAAAAATAACCAAATATTCACAAACACGAACACAAAACAAATATATCTAAAACAGTTTTAATAAACAGTGATAAAAGAATAAACGTCAAATTTCCCCCCAAAGGCTAACAAGAATTAGCAGCCTGCTAACACTGAATAGCTAAACATTAGCCAACAATATCCCATTAACTTCAATAATATTTGTTTTCAACATCATAATAAATCACGATATAATGCTATAACACGATATTTCACAAATGTACCGGAAACTGTGGTAAAGCGATAACTATTTTAGTTCTTTTTTAGGACGTGAACCAACTAACGTTATGGAAAACAAGAGGAAGGTTAGAGCTCCATTAAAACGAAAGACATAAAACAAAACGACTTTTAACTGGTTAAAACATTTCCGATTTCTTTTCACAAGACGGTGTGTGTTGGAGCAGAGTTTAAACGTTATATATAGTATTTAAAATGGTGTGAAAATAATAAACAAGAGCGAAAAGGAAAGACAAAGAAGGGCAAAAGGCCGGTTTGTGTGTATGTGTGATTACAGTCGGCCATGCTGTGCTTCTCCTTGTCTGTGTGCTTTAAAAAAAAAAGAAGAAATAATTTGAGATATCCAACTCGAGCACAGAGATAAATACTGCGAGCATCTTTTTAAAGATGATTGATCCAACCCGCCTTCCGTACGCTTGACCCCGGTACCCCGCTCGAGTTACATTCCCAAAACTTATTCATTCATTCTGCCGCTGCTCTGGCACTGTAATGTCGGACTGATCGGAGCACAAGCAAACCGGCGATAAAAAGAACTTGCTCGCGTTCTATCGCTGTTCCAAAATGTATCAATTTAAAAGTCCGCCATGACGTCATGTGTTCTACAAACATTGTGCCGTGTTTAGAGCGTGACTTACAGTGTAGATTCGCGCCGGTCTCTTCCCCGTACTCTTCGGCAAATCTAGAAACAAAGGGCAGCTCAGCTAGTTCCTTTTTCCTTCTCACTTCCCCCTCCCATCTGGTCTGATTGCATCTCTAGAGCGGCCTGTGAATGCATCAGTCGGCGGCTCGCGAGCGCCCCCTAACATCAACGACCGGAAGCCGTTGTGTTGAGGTTGAGGCTCATCATGTTGGGTGGAAGGAATGTAGACTGCATGACGGAATGGGGGATGGGTGTCGCTGCTGGTTACCTACTGAAAACCTACTTTTTATATCTGTATATATTTTTTAGTTTTTGTAGCATATTCAATTTTTGTTTTGTAGCATAGTAAATCAGGTTCTGAGAATGAATGTTGTAAAAATGAAAGCCTGTCTGAAATTGGCATGTTTACCAAACACATAAGAGAATGTTTCTGTAATATGGCACCAAGTGTTGAACGAGGAATTCAATAATCTCGATTTTCCTTTCTCAATATATGTATGCGAATAAATGAACAAACAAAGCTGGTTAAATAAAACATTTTAATCTAATTCTTTCCTTTTTGAATTTGTCAGCACCTGATCTAAAATACCACTTTTTTATAACATGGATATACTGTACACAACATTCAAAAGTGTGGGGTCAGTATGATTTTTTTTATATTTTTGAAAGAGAGAGAAATTAGTTTTTATCCAGCACAGATTCATTAAATTGTTCAAGCACTACAACTGTTTTCAACATTGATAATGATAATAGATGTTTCTTGAGAACCTGAAGGATCACGTGGCACTGAAGACTGGAGTAATAATGCTGAAAATTCAGCTTTGATCACAGGATTAAATGACATTTTACAATATAGTCAAATAGAAAATAGTTATTTTAAATTGTAATAATATTTCACAATATTACTGCTTTTTTTTATCAAAAATGCTACCTTGGTGAACATGAGAGACTTGTACAAAAACATTAACAATTCAGTTATATAAATGGAATTATAATCCTAATCCTTTCCTCCATTTGATCGTCAAATATAGACAAACAAGTGTTTACAGTAGTGGCACTTTTGTATAGTAATTTTATTTTAGGGGATAGGGGTCTAGAAGTTTGAGCTGATGTGTCTTAAAAATATTTATGCATATAAGCACGCTAGCTCTGGGGTGATATTCCTGATTTTTGACTGAGACAACCTCTAAAAGCTATATGGTATGGAAGCCTGTTTTTCTCAAGAGTAATTTTTATTTTATATATATATATATATATATATATATACTCACCGGCCACTTTATTAGGTACCCCATGCTAGTAACGGGTTGGACCCCCTTTTGCCTTCAGAACTGCCTCAATTCTTCGTGACATAGATTCAACAAGGTGCTGGAAGCATTCCTCAGGGAGTTTGGTCCATATTGACATGATGGCATCACACAGTTGCCGCAGATTTGTCGGCTGCACATCCATGATGCGAATCTCCCGTTCCACCACATCCCAAAGATGCTCTATTGGGTTGAGATCTGGTGACTGTGGAGGCCATTTTAGTACAGTGAACTCATTGTCATGTTCAAGAAACCAATTTGAAATGATTAGAGCTTTGTGACATGGTGGAAGTAGCCATCAGAGGATGGGTACATGGTGGCCATAAAGGGATGGACATGGTCAGAAACAATGCTCAGGTAGGCCGTGGCATTTAAACGATGCCCAATTGGCACTAAGGGGCCTAAAGTGTGCCAGGAAAACATCCCCCACACCATTACACCACCACCACCAGCCTGCACAGTGGTAACAAGGCATGATGGTTCCATGTTCTCATTCTGTTTACGCCAAATTCTGACTCTAACATCTGAATGTCTCAACAGAAATCGAGACTCATCAGACCAGGCAACATTTTTCCAGTCTTCAACTGTTCAATTTTGGTGAGCTCTTGCAAATTGTAGCCTCTTTTTCCTATTTGTAGTGGAGATGAGTGGTACCCGGTGGAGTCTTCTGCTGTTGTAGCCCATCCGCCTCAAGGTTGTGCGTGTTGTGGCTTCACAAATGCTTTGCTGCATACCTCGGTTGTAACGAGTGGTTATTTCAGTCACTGTTGCCCTTCTATCAGCTCGAACCAGTCTGGCCATTCTCCTCTGACCTCTGGCATCAACAAGGCATTTCCGCCCACAGAACTGCCGCTCACTGGATGTTTTTTCTTTTTCGGACCATTCTCTGTAAACCCTAGAGATGGTTGTGCGTGAAAATCCCAGTAGATTAGCAGTTTCTGAAATACTCAGACCAGCCCTTCTGGCACCAACAATCATGCCACGTTCAAAGTCACTCAAATCACCTTTCTTCCCCATACTGATGCTCGGTTTGAACTGCAGGAGATTGTCTTGACCATGTCTACATGCCTAAATGCACTGAGTTGCCGCCATGTGATTGGCTGCTTAGAAATTAAGTGTTAACGAGCAGTTGGACAGGTGTACCTAATAAAGTGGCCGGTGAGTGTATATATATATATATATATATATATAAACATTATAATTTGTGACATATAAAGTTACAATTACAATAAATAAAGTTACTTGTCTTTTTATTTTTTACTCTCAGGCATAAAAAGTCTTCCAAAATATAGTTAGACTACAGTAGACTACTCCTATGTTTACATGCAAACCTAACAACATCATGTCAGACAAATGATCGCATAACACATGAGAAATTCACACAACATTTAAGTAGCATTACAGAAGCACATCCATACAAAAAAGATTTATTATGTACAAAAACATTCAATTATCTACATTCAATTGAAGATATCTACCAGTAACAGTCTCATTTGTGTCATAAATGCAATGTTTTCAATGTTGAAATACCTTTTTCCGACAAGGTTTAATGAGCAGAGACTATAAGACATCTGTAGTCTGAATTCCCTGAAAAGTGTAAGCCACATGGGATTGTGGATCTGAGCTCTGTTCCGAACAGCCCAACATTGGCTCAACCAATGGCCTGAGTTTGTGGCAGGAACATCTATCTGGACGAATGGCAAAAGCAAAGTGTTCTAGAAAACCCGTTTGAAAACAGTCCTTATGCCATTTGATGACGCCAAGGCGTGGATTTGATTTGATTTCCTAACTGTGGAAATTTGTGCATAGCTCTGCAAGATCTCTCCCACAGACACATTTTGGAATTTCATGAATAACATGTCTTAATACTCTTTTTCAGTGCATGAATAAAGAGTACAATACAATTGTTCTTTAGTAAACAATCAACATTTCTGATTGTTCCATTTAAGGCACTACAGATCAAACATCATGAAGTAGGAAATGGCAGCGTTAATTCGCCTCAACAGATGGCATAAAATGTCTTTCATAGTCCGAGACACCTTGCTGGTCCCACCACTCTTCACCACCAGCGCCCTCCTCTTCATCAGTATCAACCATCTCACTGTACTCTTTTCTCCAGCTGTCCTGCTTTGAAATGTGTCGTCTGTTTGATTCCTCAGAGTCTTCTAACCACTTCTCCCCACCTTCATTTGTTCTGCCCAGTCCATCTGGCACCTGGAACTGTTGTGGTTCCACATCGATTAAAATCTTCTCCAGTTCAGTCTCAGAGGGAGAGGTAGGTGTGGTGGGATGCAGGTTCTCCACGATCTCCAGCTCAGAGATCTTCAGAGGTGATTCCGACAGAGAACAGAGCCATGGCCACGCATGCTGGAAGAAAAGCCAAGCTCACTGTTTAGAAGAACAAATATTCTACCATTTTTATATGGGTGACAATCTCTTTCATATAGCTTTATAAAACTTTAGATTCTTACCTGAAAGTTCATATGGTTAAATGATTTACTGTTTAATGGATCTGGGATCTTCTGGGAACAGTAACGTAACCTGTACCAAGACAGCAGATATTAATTTACCACAGTGCGTCTAATTTACCAGTTGAGGACCTAAAATAGTTCTTCGCTTCGGGTGAAAAAAAGATTGACTGTTTTTGCACTGGTATACTGTTGTAAACATCTCGACATGACTCACGCTGCTGAGAGCGCGTTTAGATCAATATGTAAATATGTGTTGCTCACTTTCCTCTCAGTCTCAATATCAAAATAAACAACAAAAATGACAGCGGTGAGAAAACATCAGTTAAGAAAGCATCTGATCATAGCGATGTGGGCATGTTTGCAATTCGGCAACCCAGTAAAGTCACGGCACGTTTATTTATATAGAACTTCATACAATAGATAGCTTGGCATGGCAATGGTAAATAATAGAGTGATAACAGTAGTCAACATTTGAAGTGGATCAAATAAGTTCATCAAAGTTGTCCTAAGACAAGAACGGGTATTGTTCAAAATTCATGTATAACTTTGGTGAAAGGTTTTGATCCACTTCAAATGTTGACTACTGTAGTTGGAATGCAGAGTATCATTTTTATCTGATAATTGAATGGAATGCAATTCACAAAAGGGGGCAAAATTATGTGGATTCCCTAACCAGCTCATTAGGTGTAGAAGATTAAGATTAAGGTCAAGATTTATCCTCACAGAAATGACTAGATTAGTCAAGCTCACTATTTAGAAGGGGGTATCCATATACTTTTGGCCATATAATGTATGATGGAATTATAATGAAAGGTAATACTCACCATACCAATTTAAAAGCAATAACTAATATCAGGAAAGACAATAGTATGAATACAGCCATCAGTATTGAAGTAAAAAAACCTAGGAGATGAGATGGACAGAAATGACTGGTTAACTACCTGAAGCTGATTTTTTGAACTACATACTGTATGCAAACAAAGACCTCTTAGTATTTTGGACAATGGATGCAATGTAAACCCCAAATGAAGGAAGGAAGGAAGAAAGAAACAGCTCGCCTTACTGTTTTCCTCAGTGGTGGAGAAAGTGGTGATGCTCCTCATGCCTTCACCAGCAGCGCTCACAGCGCTCACCCAGGCCTGGTACTGCCGGGCCGGCTGCAGGTCTGACAGATGCATGCTGGTGCTGTCACTGCTCACGTTATACCCTGTTAAAGAAGCCAGAGTAGCAGAAACACAGTGAGCAGCAAAATAGATACTTTTGCTAAAACGATGCAGAAAATCAAATGAGAATGCAGTAATTACTATTAGTTTTTACATTTAGTGTTATTAAAAGCATTTCATAACTAACAATGTTATAAATTGGAAAATTATTTAGAGATGGTAAGGGAAGACAAAAAACTTTGAAATTACTAGTTCACTTTGTTTTGTGCCCCTGATGAGAGTTTTCATTATTAGATTGTTTGTTTTAGTAGTTTATTACCTACTTGAGCAAAATATAAAAATGGTCCATGCTTTACTTAAGAGGTAAACCCTGCACCCCCTGCTTTCTTAGTCCCAAGGCCTTCTATGTGCCATACATGGTTTAAATGTGAAATAAATAAACAAATAATAGCCGGATAAACCATTAAAGGAGAGATAATGGATTACCTGTCTCATTGATGCCCACCGAGTAATGCAGGATGACACCTTTGCTCTCATGCAAAGGGATGGGGCTCCACATCAGAATGACAGAAGACTGAGAGACGATCTTCACATCGAATTGTGGGACTTTAGGAGGAACTGGGAAGGGAGATAGAGAGATGATGACTAGCAAATCTGATTACAGGATACTTCGTGCCCTAAAACTGCCAAAACTAACTCAAAGTGAGAAAATGTTTTATGAATGGTGTAGCGTCTGGACCAATCAGACACACAAATTATTCATTATTAATGAATAATCCAGCAAACTCACTCTCCCAACAAAGGTCTATGAAACTTCCCCCAAAAACTAACATCATAAATGAAACACTGTAAAAAATTGTGCTGTAAAATAACGGTAATCTACTGGCAGCTGTGGTTGCTAGCAATGTACTGTTAATTTACAGTCCTCTACCGTTAATATAGAGCTCTCCTTATTTAAAGTATGTTACCTTAAAAATACCATGGAAGGTAACTCATATAATTTGGGAAAACGATTGCTTCAAAACAGTTCGAGTTTAAAAACTAGTATTTATACTGATAGTACTGTGAACAAACTTCATTTGAGTCCACTGAAAATTAATATCTCTTAATATTAAACTGCAAACACCCAATGTGTAATAGTGAATTAATTGAAAACATGACTTTAACTAAAATCTTTGCAGTTCATATTAAGCGAACAATAGCACACATGTATGTGCTAAAGTACTTAGCAAGGAGATTGTCACTGCATCAGCAACTACAGAGTTACTGCTTTTAAATAAACATCAGTGTTTCTCTGCTCATATTTGACTGAAGCACAGGCTCTACTCTCCAGCACAATGGTGACCCACAAAACTCATTAACAGATCTCTCCTGTATCATCTTGTGCAAAACACATAAAACACTTCAGTTTAATATTTACTCTCCTTATCAGTTATTGACTGCATTACCTTTTTTCTATAAATGTTTACTAATATTTCAGTGAAATTAACTTCTTTTGTTTAGTAAATGCGACTTAAGTTTTAACAGAATATTACTGTTTTTCCTTGATTTTACAGTAATCTACTGGCAGCTGTGGTTTTTCTACAGTTTTATGCCGTAAATTAATTTACAGTTGATTACCGTTCCTGTAAATGTGTGTTTTTAAGACACATTTGTGGCGGAAACAAAGCCAATGAAAATGAGATCAGGTGTTGCTGGTTATGTTTTGAATATTACTTCATCACATAATGTTTGGGTCACTGATCTCATCCAGTGTCTAATCTCTTATCAAAAATTAGTTTTTTAATACAGCTTAATTTTATATTACTACACTGTGAGACTACAGCAAAAGGTCAAGCAGCCTGTTCAATCAGTTATGAAGGATTTTTAAACTCATTATTCACTAAAAGAATTTGAACTATAGCTACAGTTAGACACACACAGACACCAGTCTCTATGTAATACGGTTTCAAAACTGAACGCCTCAACTTCTGGAGTTGATCCGATACCATCTTGTCTTTTTAAATCATGTTTTGATTCCCTCTTTCCTGTTGTTTTGAGAATTATCAATAACTCTCTGTGCACTGGAGTTGTGGCAACAGCACTTAAAATTGCTGCTGTCACCCCTGTACCAAAAACTAACAACATGAACTTTGATAATCTGAATCATTTTCATCCCATCTCTAATCTTCCATTCCTCGCCAAAATGTTAAGGAACAAACAGTGGCTTCTCAACTACTTTCTCATCTTTCAGTCTGGATTTCGCAAACTCCACAGCACTGAAACAGCACTAGTCAAAGTAACTAATGATTTGTTAATGATTTCTGATTCTGGCCGTCTATCTATACTGATTCTTCTTGATCTTAGTGCCGCTTTTGACACTATAGATCACTCTATTTTAATCACCCGCTAGGAGACTATCTTTGGAGTTTCTGATTCTGCATTAGAGTGGTTTAAGTCCTACCTCTCTGATCGTAAGCAGTTTGTTGTGATGGGTGATTGCAAGTCTGAGATCCGTGTGGTGCACTCTGGTGTTTCCCAGGGATCAGTTTTGGGCCCGTTACTTTTTAGTATTTACATTTTTCCATTTGGCCAACTTTTAAGAACACTTGGTCTTAACTTTCACTTTTATGCCGATGACACTCAGATCTATATACATTCAAAACCTGATGTCAAAATGCCTGTGTCTTTTCTTTCTCAATGTTTTACTGAGATTAAGATATGGATGTCTAACAGTGATAAGACTGAAGTGATGCTTATTGGTTCACCTCATCAGTTGTGTAAAGCAGAGTCCATAACCTTAAGTGTGGATGGCTCTGCTTTGAAATTCCAAACTAAACTAAAAAATCTGGGGGTGATATTTGACGCCAATTTAACATTTGACCATCATGTTCGTAACACAGTCAAAACATAATTTTTTCATCTCAGAAACATTGCCAAATTACGCTCTATGTTGACTTTCTCTGTGGCTGAAAAGTTAATCAACAGTTTTTTTTTTCACGTATTTATTATTGTAATGCTTTGCTGGCTGGAGTTTCTAAAGCTACCCTAAGTAAATTACAGTTGGTACAAAATTCAGCTGCTAGAGTTCTGACTAGGACCAGTGCAAGGGAGCACATCACACCTATCCTGGAAAATTATCCACATCACACCTATCCTGCTCACTTATAAGGCCTTGAATAATTTGGCCACTCAATATTTGTGTGAGCTCTTAACCCCCTACACTCCTAGACGTGCTTTACGATCTCCTGAAACTGGTCTTTTAACTGTCCAAACTTCACGGCTAAAAACTATGGGCGATCGATTGGGCTTTTTCTTCTTTGGCTCCTAAATTGTGGAATTCCCTGCCCTCTGAGAGTAGGAAAGCAGAATCCCTTAAAGGTTTTAAATCGTCCCTTAAAACTGACTTTTTTAGGGTGGCTTTTATGTGATTCGTGTGATTACTCTGTTTGTTATTATATTGGCTTTTTATTTTTATTGCTTGTTTAGTTTTTAATGCCTAGACTGTTACGTGTATCCTTTTAATTTCATTATTTTTATGTAAAGTGCTTTGAGATGCTACTTTTAAAGGCACTTTATAAAATAAAGTTTATTATTATTATTATCAAGAATCAGCCAATGAATCTCAACAATGGTGACAATTAACAAAAAAGATAACATCAAATCTGAACATCACAAAACACACTACTTGAAAGTCAACAAAAAACCAACAGCAAAAATAAAAACAAAAAGTAAACATTAAAGAAAATAACCAGACAATTCAGCTGCATAATTTATTCATGCCACAATGCATTACAGCGTGAAACTTTTTTGATTATCACCATTGTTGGGATTCATACGCCGATTCTTAATGTCTGTGTGTGTCTGTCTAATATTGAAGCTCAAAATGTTCTGAGCATAAACTTTTTAAACCCCTTCATAATTTCTGATTGTCAAAACTCCGATAGATCCCGATTTGTAAAATCACGGTGATACCATAATCAAAAATACAAAACATCACCCATATAAATACATTAGACAATAAAAGAGATCAGTGCATTGGGTCACTAGATGATGATTGAGACCATTAACAAATAGTCACTGTCATCTAATCCTGTTTTCTTTCAGCTTTTTTGCAATAGCAAATGTATTTTAAAGACACAGCTACCACAGCCAAAGAAAAACCAATGTTCAAAAGTCAAGGGTCAAGAGCCCAACTAAAGCAATCACTGATCACCATCATGGTAACATCAAATGAAAATAAAATGACATCTAACCCTCTGTGGCCTTTTAATAAGAACTTCTGTAGACGTCTGACAGAAATAAAGTCAATCTTGTTAGTAATAAGTGAAGCTGGTAATGCTGTTTGTGGAGTTGTTTAATCCTCCTCTGCAAAGATCTTCAGAGATTGAATGTCTTTTATCTTCAGTTGATTTCATCTTTTTTCTGTTCTTCTTGTTCCTCTTTCCTTCAGTGATTCTGCTACATCAAGTTAATCCGATAAACTGATCCAAATATAAATAATCAATTATAACAAGTTATGATTGGTTATTAATATTTCATAGAGCTAATTTGCTACAATGGAATGCATTACACTTTTTTTAAAATCAATCTAAGTGAATGGAAATGTTGCACTATACAAACTAATTATTGACAATGCAATATACTTCTACAGTGGATGAGCCTTTTGACAAATAAGCTTAATATTAAAACTGTTAATCAGGGTTGTATGTTTGTAAATACACACTGCTACTTAATTGTAATATCCGAGTTATTTTTCTGAATTTTGGCTCTCTGTCGTATTGGACAATTTGATATTTTTAAATATGACATAAAATATGACAATTTTAATTAAAACAACCCAAAGTGCATTCAGTAATTTAAGGGATGTCATACCTCCTTGAAGTGTGTATGCAATTGCTGACTTGAGGAAAGTGCTGTGATTGTTGAAGACAGTATACAGTGACACATTATATGCTGTGTAGTTCCTGAAGTCACCTGTGGGTGGAGACAAACGCGAAATCACAGTCAGGGTCAGAACAAATTACAGCTTTCTCTTTCACACATCCACACACACACACACGCGCTTGTTTCACTATATTAGTGAGAACACTACATAGACCTGCATTGATTTTACATTAGGTTAATGGTATTTTCTATGGCCTAAAGCAACCCCTACCCCTAAACCTACCCATTACAAAAACATGTGCAAAACATTAGATTTAAATAATTTAAAAATTGGCCTTTTTTACTAGTGAGGACCAGTTTTGAAGGAGTTACACCGCACTCACGATCTTCAAGGTGCCAGACACACAAGACTAAAGATCTCAATAAATAAACTGTCCGCACACTCAAATCCTTAAAGCAAATTTAATAGACCAAGCTTTCGGCCTTTTGACCGAAAGCTTGGTCTATTAAATTTGCTTTAAGGATTTGAGTGTGCGGACTAGTGAGGACCAGTAAAATGTCCTCGCTAGTCAGTTGTAATAATATTTCACTGAGGACACACACACACACACACACACACACACACACACACACACACACACACACACACACACACACACACACACACACACACACACACACACACACACACACACACACACACACACACACACACACACACACACACACACACACACACACACACACACACACACACACACACACACCTGTGATTGTGACAGATGTCTGGGTTCTGTTTACTCTGACCCAGCTCAGGCACGCAAGGTGAGGTACTACAGACACGTGCTGGACGACATACTCCAGGACGCTGTCAGAGAACTGTGGGTGTACAGACCATGAGACCCGCAGCGTCTGTTTCTCACCCATTACACTCAGATTCACCTCAGGTGTTGTCTGTCCTGCAGTGCATAAATGATATAAATATAATTTTACACTACCATTCAAAAGTTTGGGATTGGCAAGATTTTTTTTTTAAAGAAGTCTCTTATGCTCAGCAAGGCTGCATTTATCCATCTATAAATTACAGGAACGTCTGTCTGTCTGTTATTCGCATATCTCTCGAACCGTTAGTCCGTTGGATTTCAAACTTGACGGGTCTTGCTACGGGCACGAGTAAGTGCAGTGCTGAGTTTGACGTTGTTTGGATTAGAAATGCAAAAGATATCGGTAAATATATATCGGTAAAAGAAACACACATTGAAGATGTTTAGAAGGTTGTGGTTTAAAAATAAACATTCTGACATAAACACTCTGTCAGCTAAATATTAAGTCAGCTACAATGTTTACTTCTGAATATTATATTTTATTCACGGCCATCATTTGTAGTAGCCTATTCACAAACTGTTTGCTCAAGCATAGCGTTTTTTCTGAGTTCACTGTGTAGCCTGCTCCCTGAATCGTCATTCATTTGTGGATGTTAACTGAATCTGTAAGTCAGCTACGCTGTTTACTTCTGAATATTATATTTCATTCTGATGCGCTTAATGTTATCGCTGTTTAATAGTAGCCTATGCTATTCACCAACTAAACATATCCTATCAATGCGTTCACAGTCTCTTTCACGGCCATCATTTGTAGTAGCCTATTCACAGACTGTTTGCTCAAGTGTAGCCTGGTCTTAATGCTGTAATGCGTGCTGAAGTTAGCCTGTAACTATGTGATGTTGAATATGCTATGTTAAATAGTTACTAAATTACTAAAAACACACACACAAACTGATTTTGCACAGGGACTGCACTAGTTTTATTAAAAATACAGTAATAACAGTATTATTGTGAAATATTATTGCAATTTAAAATAACTGTTTTCTATTTTAATGTTTTCAAATAGAATTTATTCCTGTAATTTAAATGCTGAATCAATTAAATGTGTCCTTGCTGAATAAAAGTGTTATTTCTTTCAAAAACATCTTTCTATCTTTTTTAACGGTAGTGTATATAGCATTTTATTATAAAAATATATAATATATATTTATACTGTATATATATACACAGTTGCAATCAAAATTATTCCAACCCCCATTGCAAATCAGGTTTATTGGTAACATTTACAGACTTTCAACTGTTTGCAATGAACAAATCGAACAAAAGTAATTAAATAATAGCCGAGTCCCAAATAGACACCTGTCTCTTTTACATGCCTGATGTGGCAACAGGTTTGGATAATTAATGCCGGTCTCAAATAGAGGCCTGGTCTGTTTTTTAGTTTTCTACAACCCGTCAGATCGTCTGTTTAAGCCAGTTCTATGGTGCAGATTGCGCATGCAAGAGAGCCCTGCGCATCTGGGCGGGAGCTGTTAGCGCAAGAAAGGCAGACAGAGTTAGAGGAGGCTGGAGAGGGAGAAGTGGAGGAGAGCGACGAGGAGGTGGAATTCGCCAATGAACTTGTAGTTGAGGATCGCGGTGATGATGATAGTGATGAATAGGGTCATTTTGTATCACATGATTGCATGTGATACAAAATGTATCACATGATTGCAGTTGTTTTACAGGGTAGCCTTCATTCTTTCTTGTTGATGTGTTTTGGGCAACAAGTTCATAGGCTCGATGGATATTACCGGTAACTTGTATTGTTCAGCCCATGGCTGTCACATCGTTTCGATTTTGTATGCTGCCAATAATCTAAAGGGGGTTGCACACCGGACGAGAAGCGAAGCGCCGCGTCGCGTCTATGACAACTCGAATCGTCGCACACCGGACGTGCACTTTGTCAGTTTATGGCCAGCAATATTGAACTTTTTCCATTTTCTAATGATTCCGCCAACTGTTGTTGCCTTCTCAACAAGCTGCTTGCCTATTGTAGCCCATCCCAGGCTTGTGCAGGTCTACAATTTTATCTGATGTCCTTACACAGCTCTCTGGTCTTGGCCATTGTGGAGAGGTTGGAGTCTGTCTGATTGAGTGTTTGGACAGGTGTCTTTTATACAGGTAACGGGTTCAAACAGGTGCAGTTAATACAGGTAATGAGTGGAGAACAGAAGGGCTTCTTAAAGAGAAACTAACAGGTCTGTAAGAGCCGGAATTCTTACTGGTTGGTAGGTGATCAAATACTTATGTCATGCAATAAAATGCAAATGAATTACTTAAAAATCATACAATGTGATTTTCTGGATTTTTGTTTTAGATTTCGTCACTCACAGTTGAAGAGTACCTATGATAAAGATTACAGACTTCTACATGCTTTGTAAGTGGGAAAACCTGCAAAATCGGCAGTGTATCAAATACTTGCTCTCCCCACTGTGTATATATAATTGACAAAACTTTTGCATTTTAAGTAAAACTTGAACAAAATGAGAGACAATGGCAAATGACTAATAATTCAAATTAAATATCAATTATAAACTCAACATAACTTTTAATTAGAATTTTGCATTGACATACCCCTCACAGGAAACAGCATGAATGTGGGGATGGACGTGCCCATTGAGGTGTTGGCTGACACAAAAACTCCCATAACACCCATCTTGAGAGGGAAACGTCTGAGCTGCGGGCAGTTCTGCTCGGTGCGATGCTGACTTCCTGTGTCTCTCGACTGCCTGGTAACCTGCTTGATCTCAGTCCCATTTTTAAGCTTCAGTGTCACAATATAGTTGCTAATTTCCCCTCTAGCCTGAGACAGGGGCATTTCCTGAGAGACAGGAAATAACGTCAGACAGTCAAATTTCTACAGCTCATTCATGATGTAATGAATCGTGACTGACCCAGTTACAGAAACAAGAACCAGTTAGAATGATGTATTATGGGAGTATAGCCTACTTTCCAATAGATGTTACAGGAGGAGTTGTCAGAATAAGGGACACAATCACTCCAAACATCCAGCTGTCCAACCGGTGCTGAAAAGACAGAATATTACAGACAATTATCGTCACTGATTATCTTATATAATAGATTTAAAATGGAATAATAGCATACTGAATATGAATAAAGCATACTGTGCAGTAGTATGTACTGTATACCATACCAATAAAAAACAACAACTTAAAAACGATTCAAACATTCATACATACATATATACACATATATAAGTTGGGTAAAAAAGAACAATAAAAATATTCAAAATGTTAAATAAGAACTGTTTTTTGAGCACCAAATCAGCATATTAGAATGATTTTCAGCTTTGTCCTCACAGGAATAAATTACATTTTTAAATAATATTACAATCGAAGACAGAAACTTTAAATTGTAATAATATTTCACAATATAACTGTTTGTTTTTACTGCGTTTTTGATCAAATAAATGTAGCCTTAATGAACATAAGAGACTTATTTAAAAACATTTGAAAAATATTTTTGCGACCACAAACTTCTGAACCGTAGTGAAGAGTCAGTGTGGATTCTGAACATGGTGTTCACTCTTGTTTAAACCTGAATTGCGTGTGTATTTAGCACTGACAACTGTATTCTGCTGCTGTGTGAATTTGAATCAAGATCATCCTCAAAGCAGTAAATGAGTGCATTAATGTCCTAAATGAATGGATAATGTGTCTTTCTCTGACCTGCAGGGGGCGTTCTGACTGAAAACACTGAACTCCAGTCACTCATGACTTTCTCTTCATATCCACAGTGGCAGCGAACACGAAAACTGTACTCTGTGAATGGCTGGGAATCCTCCAACGGAAATGTGGACTGCAAATCATCCTCCTGCACAATTAAAAATCAACAATTGGTTTAACTAGAACATAATTTATTAAAGGTTCAGTTCCACCTAAAATATAAATTCTGTCACCATTTACTCACCCTCAAAGGTGTTCTTAATGATTCTGGGTGAACTAAATCTTACAACTAGTATTGACAAATCTCTGACACTATGAAAACTATTCAATTATCGGTAACACTATTATGATGGTCCACTTTAGACATTCTACTAACTATAAGCAACTTTGCAACTACATTTCAACTACCAGTCATTAAAGTATTAATAGACTGTCTGCTTAATCAGGGCTGCCAACTTTTGAGTTAGCTTGGATTGTTGTGATTGTCAAAACACTTGGATTTCATTAAGTTTAGTAGTTATGTTTACATGGTACGATGACTGGTAGGCGACTGTTTTTATTAGTGCTCGACTCGATTTCAATTCATAAGCATGTAAGTCAATTCCAATCTTGATTCATTTGGATAAAAATCAGGTACAGAAAAAATTCTCTCAACTAATGCTGTCCTCTTTGCTCCGCGATTTTTCACTGCATGAGAAAATGGATGTGTGGCGTGGGAACGTGAGAACAGTGTGAACTGTGCGAATCTCACACTGAATGCGTGAGAGTTGGCAGCCATGAGGCTTAATATCTGCTATAACTTTATTTTGATGCTCCCCAACAGACATTCTACTGACTATAAGTAACTTCGCAACTACATGTCAACTTATTCTACAAACTAACCCTAACCATAACAGTCTACTAATACTCTAAGAGAGTTATTTGACATAGTTGCAAATTCAACTACATTGAATTGAACAATTTAATAGTTGAACACTCATTAACATTAAAGGGGCGGTTCAGAATTTTGGACATCGGGCCTCATTTCCAAATTGGCCTTAGTGTTATTTATCAGTGGAGACAGTTTTCAAAAATTTTCATCCAGTCGTTCCAGTTGCATAGTTTGCCGGTGCTAGGCTAGCGCGAGTCAACGGTAACTGCTAGCCTGCCATTAAAAACAGTTTTACCCACTCCACAGTACACCAACAGCAAATAAATTATAACGCCAGACTATCGATGTAAATGTCTGTTAAGAGAATAATGTTAAAAATCAAACTACTCTTGCATCTCAATGATCGCAATACATTTACAGGAACTAGTTTCTCAGCAGCGGCGGAATTTTACTTTGCTCCGGTTAGTAGTACTGCGCCGAAAAGTAAACACAGAACCGAAGCGCACTACAGTCGGAACTACCTGCACTACCTCTCTCTACCTCTCTCTCTCTCACTACCTCTCTCGGTTGCCTAGGTAACTACATATCACTCCGCCGCTGCTGTAGAGTGCGCTAATAAATACAGGGAACAAAGTATAACTATTGCAATGCAATGAAAGGGTAGTTTGATTTCTAACATTATTCTCTCAACAGACATTTACATCGATAGTCTGGCGTTATAATTTATTTGCTGTTGGTGTACTGTGGAGTGGGTAAAACTGTTTTAATGGCAGGCTAGCAGTTACCGTTGACTCGCGCTAGCCTAGCACCGGCGAACTATGCAACTGGAACGACTGGATGAAATTTTTTGAAAACTGTCTCCACTGATAAATAACACTAAGGCTAATTTGGAAATGAGGCCCGATGTCCAAAATTCTGAACCACCCCTTTAACATTAACACTTACTATTCTACTCTATTTCTATGATCAATTTTTTTCATTTCTTTTTTCATAAAAAAAACTTGCTAGGTGTACTTTGCTAGACTAATTGGTATTTGTCACAGCACATATTGTATTACATATTGTTGCCCTATTGTTGTTTGATTGGTTCTAGTGCTCCCCTCATTTGTAAGTCGCTTTGGATAACAGCGTCTGCTAAATGATTTAATGTAAATCAATGAGAGTTAGTAGACATGTAGTTGCAATGCAAAGTAACTTATAGTTAGTAGAATGTCTAAAGTGGACTGTCAAAATAAAGTAAAACCGACCTATCTTTGATTGCATCCTTATAGTCATAACAAAAATTAATTTACATTAAAAAAAGCAAACAAAGTAAAAAATGTTGACAAAACAAAAAGCATTAGTGTTTGTCCTAGGCCTGGTTTAAAATCTACACTTTCTGTTTTACTAAGATTTGTATTTTAATAATCCAATACTGATTCTTAAAACCCAAAGATGGATGTGATTATACTTCATTAAACTTTACTTTATGCACACCTCTGATCCTGCTGATGGATGGATTTTCTTCTGAACTAACTCACTACAGAAACTCGGTTTACTAAAGCACTTTTGAACACATGAGTGAAAATGCCAGAGCTGCACCCATGAAGCCAGTGACGCCAATCTTAGAGAAAATTGTTGAAATATTCTGAATCAGAATCGAATAAGGAATTTGTGAATGAGAACTGAATCAAATGAAATGGGATTTTCGTCTACTCCTCTCACCTGAATCCAGTCCAGCATGTGATCGTGTGTGTGGTATTGCACTTGACACTTCTTGTCTAAGGGGTCCACACTGTCACAGTCCATGTTCCAGTAGATCACCAGCGGCATGAAGGTGTGGGTAATATTGTTGGGGGGGTCTGGACGAACTAAAAAATAAGAAAAACAGGGAAAATATTTAAAGCTAGAACTAAGCATTTAAATTTATTAATTTTCTAAGTGATGAAACTCACAGTTTTTGCCTGCAAGTTTCATTAACTTGAGCTACACTACCATTCAAAAGTTTGGGCTCTTAGTCTCTTATGATCAACAAAGGCTGCATTTATGACTATGTCTACACTAACCACATTTGAAAACAAATATTTTTCCTCTATGTTTTGGTCTTCTGTTCACACTGAGACTCTTTATGAAGAGCTTTTTGAAGACACTATCCCCAAGTGGCTAAATTTGAAAACATTTTTGCATTGTAGAGTGAACTGTGAAAAGGAGGTATTTGAAAACGATGACATGTTTAGTAATGTCACGCATGTTATTTTGATAGTTATCTATGTGTACTGGCATTATAGTTCCTGCTATTCATTTACATAGTGTTTAAAAAACCCCCAGAAAAAGTCAGCACACCAAAGCTCCAAAATATGTCAAAAATTTAATTCAACAACACACGGAGTGGGTCCACTATCACTATTAGATTTTTTGCGTATTTTGGTGCTTTGGTGTGCCGACTTTTTTTCTGTTTTTTCAATTATTTATTTTGTCGAGCACCCAACCCGGAGCATATTTTTGCAGGTGATGTGCATGCTTTGGTCTTGTTTTTGCAGTGTATTAAAAATAAATGTTACTTTGTTTAATCTTCAAATTATGTTCCTGCAAAATAGATGACAGAAAATGTACCCGCTATTGCTGTTCTGTGTCAAAACATGAGCGCAACTGCGTTTCCATACATGGAATGGCGATTGAATGCGACCTGGACACACTAGAAGTGGTGAGAGATTTTGCTAATAAAGCGATCGTGTCAGAAGAATAGCCTGAGAACTTTATTATGTCTGGTCGCTCTGTATCATCTCAGTGAGCTTTTATTTCAATTTACACATGCACAATAAGATGGCTTTAGCTTTTTTAACATTAGTTAAAACGCCATTTTCAAATGTATCCACGTTAATGTAGACGTAGCCTATTTGATCAAAACAAACTACAGTAAAACCAGTAATATTATATGAAATACTATTAGACTTTAAAATAACTTTTTTATTTGTGTGATCACTCATGTGATCATTAGTCCAGTCTTCAATGTCACATGATCCTTCAGAAATCAATCTGATATGCTGATTTGATGCTCAAGAAACATTTATTATTATTATTATTAATAATGAAAATGGTTGTGCAGATTTCTTAAAAAACAAAACAAAAATCTTACTAAAAAAAATCGAACTGACCCAAAACCTTTGATTAGTACTGTGTATATCGAGGGAGAAGAGAGAGACTTGGAGGTGATGGGCTCTTTTTAAAAGAAAAACATTTATTACACTGAACAAAATTATAAACACAAAACTTTTGTTTTCCCCCCATTTTTCATGAGCTGAATTAAAAGATCTAAGACTTTTTGGTAACACTTTACTTGAAGGGGTGTGCATAAGACTGACATGACACCTTCGTAACCATAACATGACATATGTCATGAATATGAAGTAGGGTTTATGCATGTTTATGACAACTATCATTAAGTGTCATTCGCTCAATAATGACATTTTGAATGCAAATATGACATTGTTTAAGATGTCTTTGTTATGACACCTTGACATAAACCAATACATCATAACCTGTCAGTGTCTTTGTCATGACAACTTGACATTAAATTACATTAAACTGTCATGTGGTTGGTTTTGACACTGGCTGTCATGAGGCCATTATAACTGTGTCATGAATATTTTTCTTGACCTCAACTACAGTGGTACACATTGAATTTGTCATTAAAAAGTTATAATGGCTTCATGACAGCCAATGTCAAAACCAACCACCTGACAGTTTAATGTAATGTTAACCAATAAAGCTAAGTGGTTTCTTAAGTTTGATAATTAATCTGCTAGGTCATGTTTATGACAGGTTGTGTTGTCTTAGTAATGTCAAGTTGTCATGACAAAGACACTGACAGGTTATGATGTATTTGCTTATGTCAAGGTGTCATAACAAAGACATCTCAAACAATGTCATATTTGCATTAAAAATGTCATAACTGAGCAAATGACACTTAATGACAGTTGTCATAAACATTCATACAACTTCCTTCATATTCATAACATGTGTCATGTCATGATTATGAAGGTGTCATGTTAGTCTTATGCACACCCCTTCAAGTAAAGTGTTACCGACTTTTTCTATGAACACAAAAGGCCTATTTCTCTCGAAATATTGTTCACAAATCTGTCTAACAAATCTGTCACATTTTAGAGTGGCCTTTTATTGTGGCCAGCCTAAGGCACACCTGTCCAATAATCATGCTGTCTAATCAGCATCTAGATATGCCACACCTGTGAGGTGGATGGATTATCTCGGCAAAGGAGAAATGCTCACTTAAGGCGGGCATACACTGTGCGATATCTGTGCGATTTCAGCACGGTACTTACTCACACTGAATGAGTACATTGCATGCGATGTAAAGCCAAAGTTCAGGATTTATATGGTCACACTATACGGTCCGATCATCGAGCTGCGACTTCACTGCTCACACTATACGTGTGAAATATCTGCGATAAACCCCTGGATTGCGCCAATAGACGATATCATGTATCCAGAGATATTGTCAAAACAAGCATCAGCTATCAATATCAAGATGACTTAGCATTTCCAATTTATGCATTAAATTATTATTAGTATTATTGTATTATCATTATTAGGGGAGGCCTAAATTTTATTATTAAATTGATCCGCTATTATAATTAATTTGCCACGCAATAATTTCACAGCACATAACCAACGTGCTGTGAGGATAATAAAATATTACATAGAAGCTTACTCCTCCTCATTGAAAATTGTCTAAAACATTTAGGTTGATTACAATGAATTATAGGCATATAAATAACTATTAACAGTCTATAATATGTCCGAACATTGCAATAATTAATCATCAATGAAAATTAAAAACAGGTTTATTTCAAAAACATTGTTTAACAAATTAATAAAAGAGGCGTAGCTAGTTTGAACTACAGAACTTAAAGATCTCCCTCTTTTCGTTTTTATTTTAATTTTATTTTTGCTGCAGATGAAATAAAACTTCTGTTTTCGCGCAGGCGCAGTGAGGGAAAAAACAATCGGGCAATCGGTTCGTAGCTTTGCTTCAACTGTGCGATATAGTCACGAGGAGTGACCAAAATTTCTGACATGCCAGAAATTCATCCGATTGTCAATCGGGAGAGGTTAATCGCCTCTCGTTTCTCCCTGTACACTGCACAAACACTGCACGACAAACGACAAAGCTGAAAATCGGTCCGACCCGAAAAAGAGTCGCACGAGTCAGAATTCGGCTCAAAATCGGACGAAAATCGCACAGTGTATGGCCGCCATAACACAGATTTAGACAGATTTGTGAACAATATCTGAGAGAAATAGTTCTTTTTCGTACATAGAACAAGTCTTAGATCTTTGAGTTCAGCTCATGAAAAATGGGGGCAAAAACAAAAGAGTTGCATTTATAATTCTGTTTAGTGTAATAATAATCATCAGAATTGTGTCCATACTGACTACTTTACAGTGCTTCAAATGCAGCCAATAAATTGCATGCACATGGTTCAGAGAAATGGTTTACAATAGAGTAAACATGACTTACTGATATGGCCTGTGTTGAAGACAGACTCTTCAGATTGTGCAGAACCCAACCCATTTTTGGCAGTGACCCATGCTGTAATGTCAGTGCTTTTCATATACTCTGCCCGATTTATGACCACATTCTCTTGATCGCTCTCCCTTGATTTAATGTTCCTGAATATAAACACAAAAAAGGTTCAAGTTAATCTTTTATATTTGAAATTTAAATCTGATATTTAATTTGAATTATTAGTCATTTGCGATTGTACTTAGGTTCTACTTAAAAATGCAAAAGTTTTGACAACTTATTAGTAAGTAAACACTGTCGGTATACCCATCACAATCTTTCCAGTGAAGAGTGTAAATGGTGGGAATCATTGGCTCATTGGATTTCGTCCAGGAGCAGTGAATGTCTTCATTCAAGTCTTCAATAGCACAATCAGGACGGGAAGGGGAAGAAGGTGGATCTGTAAAAGATGGGAAACTATTCTTGAGGAAAGCCAACAAATAAAGTAAAGATAAAGGGAGGGGTAAAAACAAAGCCATAATAGCCAACACAAAGATCTGCACCTTTATTTTCAAAACTGAGAAAAAAGGAAGTCACAAGGGTAGATCTGCAAAAGTAAGCCACCAGTGTGTTGCACACTTCCCCTCCTTGTCTAATTTTGGACAACCTTTCAACACATGAATTTCTCAAAGAATGTTACAGACTCAATTCAGATTAAGCTCTGTTACCAAATAAAATAATTTACAGTTACACATTCGGCTAATGCTTTTATCAATAACTACTTAAATTGCATTCAAGGTACACATTTTATCAGTTCATGAATTCCCTGGGATTTAACCCATGCTCTTCTACTGGTTGAGCTACAACAACACAACTTTCAGTAATGCACTTACAATGGAAGCCTATGGGGCAAGGCATCCTAGAGAGCTTAGAAACAAAAAATATGCATCTTGTATTTTTGTTAAACCACTTCGATTTAGGGATGCAGTGATATGAAAATTTTGCCCGATACAGTTAACCGATAATTCTTTATATCCGAAAGCCGATAACCGATATTTTGGCCGATAAATCTAAATTTTCATATTATTTTTTAGACCCGGATTACAAAACCAAAAGTCTCACCATTCCCATGTCCCAGGCACACAATTATAATGTTCTCATTATAATTTTATGAAGCCTATTTGACAGACTTGTGCTGCACATGTTGCAGAATAGCACCAAATGTTGGACCAGAACCAAGGGATGGGCCCCTTACAACACCCAAGACTGCTTTATTTTCACTATTATTCAAAACTTTTTTTATTTTCACAAGGTTAAATTCAGAGTAGCCTACCAATTGCAACATAGCAAGACATTTTAAAACAGACTAATTTTAACTATTTAACAAAAAAAATTAATCAAATAAGTGAATTATTAACATTAATAATATAAATGTAGATAATGGCTACCTACATTAAAATGTAGCGTTCAAATAGCTTTCAATTTTGAGCGGACGGGAATTCGCTACACTCATTCGCTCAACAGACTTCTCTGTGATTGGCTACAGAGCTCAGCGCTGCAAACCTGAACGCATGTAAACGTGGACCGTTTGAATGCAGCCATCTATCTGCGTGGATCTAATTAAGTGTCTGTACTCAGTAAAACAGCTCAGAAATACTGGTATCGTCACATTTGCACAATTTTATTTACTTTGTATAACGTACTGGTAGGCTACTTTTGACAAGACTACTTCACTGAGGTAAAGGGAAACGTAATAAGTTACACAGTTTCCTCTCGAAAGCCCCACCACCTTTTTTGAAGTTATGCCAATCATATTTCAAGCAATTCAAAATCATTATAGAAAACAATGTGCATCTGCCGAAGTGTCTCAGCTAAAGAGAATAATCCATTATTTAACGGCTTTAATATATCAGCCAAATTTTCTTATTGGGCCGATAATGAGAACATTAAAAATTAAAGCTGCAAGCAGCATTTAGCGGTGTTCAAGCAGTTAAGGCCTTTAAGGCCGTTAAGCACATAAGCATCAAAAGACATTAAGTTGTATATAGCAAGCATTTAACCACTGAGATCATAGATAGAATAGACCATGTTTTAGCATGATTCGCCATGATTTATCCTGTTCTAGCATGATTTACCACAATTGAACATATTCTAGTATGATTTAATACGATTCTAGCATGATTTACCATGTTATAGGATGATTTACCATGATATACCACATTCTAGAATGATTTACCGCAGGATTGTAGCATGATTTGCCATGATACACCATGTAATAGTATTGTTTACAATGATTTACCATGTTTCTATTGTGATGTACCATGATGCACCATATTGCTAGCATTAATGTGAAGTGTCAATAAAAATGAAGTGATAAACTTTGACAAAATATGATTGTGTTATAATAGTTAACATGGAAAAACTGGTTTGCTTTAGTGCAGAAAACTGGTGAAAATCAAGTGAGTCAAAATGAAAGTGAGCCAATAAGTGGTCTTCTACTGCCCTCTGCTGGCCACTGTACTTATTAATAAAGTGTTTTTTACAAGTGCTTTTGCATTCATATGTAGACATATGCTTACACACACACACACACACACACATGGGATATGTTATTGTGAAAATCTCTTTTAATTGTGTATAAGCATGCATTTCACATATTTCTTTGAGATGTAATAATATAAAACTATATTAAAACTAATAAAAAAATAGCTTAAAGCGTTTGTTTGTTAGCCAATGCTGAAAGCTGATAAAAAAGATTAAAAATGTCGGTAACACTTTACAATAAGGTTCATTTATTAAACATTAGTTAATGTATTAATTAACATGAACTAACCATGAGGAATACATTTGTTACTGTTTTTGTTCATCTTTGTTAACACTAGAACGGCCACGACGGTCATTTTGACCGTTTTGAATTTTATATCTGCAATAACTTTGTTGAAAAAATAAATAAAATCCTGCTGGTACCTGACTTTTCCTAAAAGTGTCTGTATTTTCATTTAAAATGTTTTTAATATAAATTACACATAAGGCAAACAAACAAATGAACATATTTACCTATTTCGGCCATAGACGGTCAAATTGACCGCACTGAATTTTGCGGTATTCTTTTGTTAAATTTTTTCGCGGTTGACCTTTGTCTATTAGGAAATAATCAGAAGATTCAATTGCAAAATGACAGATATGTTTATTGAGAGCTGGTCAGATGCTGGGAGAGTTAAGGTGTGCAAATGTCCGGTATGAAGCCCTTGGCAGCACAGGGACGCTGGAGTGAGTGCTGAACCAGGAGTGCTGAACACGGGATGACACACGGAAAACGGATACAGGCAGGGAACAAACACGCAGGAAAAATCCACAACGATCTGACAAAGGGCCTTTCTCAATCTGTGGTCTTGTCTGTAGTTGTGTCCTTGTGTTCTTGTGAAACGTCATCTTTTGTGGCCCAAGTACTGTCCCAATACACAAGTTTGCATTTTGGCAAGAACAGTTAAAAATCCCGGATGTGTTCTTGACACGCCCATTTTACCGAGGATGCATCGGTTGGTAACTTGTGTGAACTTGACGGCAGAAATATCCCAGCATTCAATTCGGCATTCGAGGAAGGAGAGGCAGGTCAATACAGTATTTCGTTTTTCTACAATTACGTACACTATTTCATCACTAAATTCACTTCTGAGAACATTTGATGCGAGAAATCAACTGTGTAGATTTCAAATATTGGCATTTTTATGAAAATGTATGGCTAATCGAAAATGTGCTCAAACGTTTTCGGAAGTGAGAATCTCCATAAGCGCCGGCGGGTGTAACGTTAGCTATCGAGCCAACCGGCCAGTTTGCTCACAGACTCGTTTTTCCCCACAGCCAAGAGACCATTGCAGCCTGGCTGTTATCGTCAATAATTCTCGTTATGTTAGGGTACTGCAGACGGTGTCTGTGCGGGGGTATTATTGCGCAATACCAGCAAGAACACATCGTCTCAAACTGTCAACAGCGTTCTGTGTGCTCGTCACCTTGTGAGTTCATTCTTCCAAGAACAACTAGCAAGAGCGTTCTCCCCAAGAACACAAGTCCGTTCTTTGCATTCTTGGTTTTGAGAAACACCCAAAGACTAGGCGAGAACAGTAACACTGAAAAGGGTCGAATGGCTGATCAGTTGCAGCTGGCGCGTTGATCAGAGCGCACGTGCTGATCAGCTGCATTGATCAGCGACCACGCACACACACACACAACAAGACGAGAAAGGAGACAGCGAATTCATAAACCATGACATTGTCTCTCTCACTGTCAAAAGAATATCTAAATAAGATACTTTTAGTTGTTATTATCTTGTTCTGAGTTATGTTGAAGGGATATGGAAATATAGCTCTGTTGTGAATAGGCCCTATGCGATAATTACGGGCTACTGATATTATTATTTATAAATGTATAATTAAACTTTTTAAAATGTACAGTTTGGTGTTGTTTTGTTTTTAAAAGATATCTTAATACAACAAATGCATTAATCTCTCAATTGGGTATTTATCATTAAAGATATAGAGTTTGCAATCTAACGGTCAAAATGACCGCTTGTGGCAGTTCTAGTAGTTATGGAATTCTGGCACTTCTAGTGTTAACGTTAGTTAATACAAATCCAGCTGTTCATTGTTAGTTCAGGCAAAGAACGTATATTGACAAGAAGTGAAAGCCAATAGAACGTTCCATTGCAACACCAGCGCCCAGCAGCAGCCCTACGCGTCCGCCATTTTGGGGTGAAAGCGACTCGGCAGTCATATATTATACATTTATTTAGTCCAGTGCAGAGGTCATTTTTAGGTTGAAATAATTAGGTGATTATTTTAATTCACAACAGTTAACGTTATATCCGTTAAAAAGAAGTTGCTACTAGGCTTTTCCCCCACATAACTTGAGACAGGGAAGTTCAAGGATTTAATTAATTATATTAATCTCTACATTAAGTTTGACAGGTAAGAAGAATAAAGTGATGTAAGTTCATAAAGTTATAACGTTAGACCGTTTCCCAGGAGGTACACATAACCTTACATACAAAAATAAGTTCAATGAAATAAATGAATTCAGCAAATAAATGTAATTGTACTAAAATGTAAATGTTGGACAATAAATACATAACAGCAATAGAATAGCTTTACAGTCAACTGTTTTTTTTGCAGTACTATTTTATATTAATGACCGTTAAAGCAAGCCTATGTAAACAAAAAAAACACAGATAACGGACACACCAATGCATCATGTTAAGATCATCATGTTTGTAGCACGATCCAGGGGATTAAAACGTACAAAATATATTTCAGGCCTAGTGGAGTTGGTAACTAATAATAGTAGTAAATGTGTAAAGTTGCATAAAAATGCAAGAAAAACTACCTAAAAAACTGTTATCTGTGCTGTTGCCCAGTAACTCCAGTTGGAATTTTCACCCCAAAATGGCGGCCACGCCACCTAGTG